TAATTTACTAGCCGAATGACCCGGGCAACGCCCGGGTTTTACCTGATTAAATGCTTTTATTCAAATACTATTCGTTACAATTATAAATTGGCGCCGTGGATGTCATTCTTGTTAAACGTCCCGCTCCAAACTTTGTGTCTGAGAAGCGATATTTTTATAAAGAGATGATCTGGCTTTGTGTCTTCTGCTCGAATGAATGTTTTTTTTTTAGAATTTTGTTCCTGCATACTAAAAATGAACTGGCTTCACCCGTGGTCTCTGCTTTTTGGAATTTTTCCGGTATGAAAGGATGAATTATGAAGAGTAATGATGAATGGAAAAATAAAAGTGTCCAGGGATGGGAACATGGCATCTGCTTGGTAATCAGAACACTGTGGGTTCAATTCCCATCCCTGGACACTTTTATTTTTCCGTTTATCATTACTCTTCACAATTCATCCTTTCATACTTCATCCCTAAGGATAGAAATAGTCGTTATTTCTCCTTAAAATAAAATTACGATTTTTTGTTCAAAAGAAACATTTGCGGTAAAACTTGTCAAATATCGTTTTACAATCATAAGCCTGCATTATATTGTATTATAAAAAGTCATATATTGGATCAAAAATAATTTATTTACCAATATTTCAGTTGGCTTAATACCAACCTTTTTCAAGATATTCAGGTGGAAGGCTGGTTAAACCTTTTGGTTTTCGACCACTATGACCCGGGTTCAATTCCCGCATTGGACACTTTTTTTGTTTAAAAAAAAAAAAACGCTCCAATGGCCCCCAATTCTTGCAAAAGTCCAACCCCACCAGTGAGTGCAAGTAACTAAACGGGGCTCTGGCAAATTTGTAAGTGCAAAGTAGAACTGCTTTTCACATGTGTAGACATGTGGTGCGCTTACAGTAAAAGCAGTCGCTAACTACCCACCATGATTATCATGGCTTTGAGATAAGAAAGAAGAAGAAGAAGGAAGTTTTGAATTAAAGTTAGATGATTAGCTAATCATCTAACTAGATGATTAGCTAATCATCTAACTTGCTAAAATAATATATATTTTTTAAATAGGTTTGTAATATAAATTAATGATATTAATTGAAACCATTGTGTGTGCACTTTTTTGTATTTTATTTTCATGATTAACTTTTAGTATCAGGGACAAAATGGCATTAATACATATTTTAGAAACAAGAATAATTGAAATAAATAAATCTACTGGCAATGTGTTTCTTTTCAGTAATATAATCAATTACTGTACTTTGCTACATACTCCATCCCTATGGGAGCTATGTCCCAAAGCTTGCAAATATTGTAGATACTGACATGGCTCTAATGTGTTTCTGCCAAGAATTCCCTTTGAGTCTTGAAACTTTGTCCCTAGTAGCTTCGCATCCTTTCACTTGTGGTGAAAAGAGTAGCTTTGAACTCCGCCTTTGCCGGTCCCAAGCCCGGATGAAAAAGGAGGAGGGGGAGCAGTAACAAGCTCGCTAAAAAATCTGGGCTCAGCTGGCCCGGCTGATAGTACCCTGTAAGGGCTCCTAATCCAGGGATACAGGATGAGCAGCGTTTGTACTCCATGTTAGGAGCGGCTGCACATGGTGTCTGTTCCTCATTTTAGAGGCGGCCATTTCTTTTGGAGCTAAGTCGGCCTGCCACTGAGTAATGCTCCCAGTCTTAATGACAAAGGTAGACACATTCTACTTCACCCAGTGTGGAGATAAGAAAGAAGAAGAAGACAATCCTGGCAAGGTTGGAATAAAGGTCCTGTCTTGAGGCTTCCATACATTCACAACTATAGAAGTTGATAAAGCACAATTTGGATTATAGATTATAAACACAAGGTAATAAGACATCAAATCCAAATAAATAAAGTGTGTGACATTTCAGTAACAGCATTGTTACCATCATCATTCAGCACATTCAGTAATTTTTTCTGATGATGGTAACAACACTGTTGCCGAAACGTTACACACTATTTATTTGGTCATATTACCTTTTTTTTTTTGTAAATATAGAAGTTAAAATTAGTTTTTCTTCTTCCTGCAGTACTTTATTTCTACTTGAGAGCCGAGGGGGCAGTTAGTGATGAGCTGGCAGTTAGTGATGAGCTACATTGACATCAGGAGTTATAATTAGTAAGAAAATGTATTTTTCCAATGGCAATCATTTCCCTTTGATTCATTTTTATTTTGGCAGATTATAATTGAAAACTTGATATAATTCATCAGATTTTGGCAACAGTCTTTGATTTCCAAACTTAAGTCTGGTCATCTACAGACAATGACAGAATGGTTGCAAGGTTTTCCCACTATGTACTAAGTGTCAACCTGTAACAACCCCAAACTACATTATTGACTGTATTGACTCATCCATTGATGAGCTCTACTCATCCCCAGCAGACACCATCAACAAGCTTTACAAGCTTGATACCTTAATATGATTGAGTGGAGATAAGAAAGAAGAAGAAGACACCATCAACAAGCTTTACAAGCTTGATACCTTAATATGATTGAGTGGAGATAAGAAAGAAGAAGAAGACATCATCAACAAGCTTTACAAGCTTGAAACCTTTTTTTTTTTTTTAATTATCCCTAGTACACGTGGTACAGGCCATGATAATCATGGTGGGTAGTTAGCAACTGCTTTTACTGTAAGCGCACCACATGTCTACACATGTGAAAAGCAGTTCGACTTTGCACTTACAAATGTGCCAGAGCCCCGTTTGGTTACTTGCACTCGCTGGTGGGGTTGGACTTTTGCAAGAATTGGGGGCAATTGAACCATTTTTTTTTTTATCAGAAAAAAGTGTCCAATGCGGGAATCGAACCCGGGTCGTAGTGGTCGAAAACCAAACGGTTTAACCAGCCTTCCACCGACCCCCCGCTTGAAACCTTAATATGATTGAGTGGAGATAAGAAAGAGGAAGAAGACACCACCAACAAGCTTTACAAGCTTGATACCTTAATATGATTGGGTGGAGATAAGAAAGAAGAAGAAGACACCATCAACAAGCTTTACAAGCTTGATACCTTAATATGATTGAGTGGAGATAAGAAAGAAGAAGAAGACACCATCAACAAGCTTTACAAGCTTGATACCTTAATATGATTGAGTGGAGATAAGAAAGAAGAAGAAGACACCATCAACAAGCTTTACAAGCTTGATACCTTAATATGATTGAGTGGAGATAAGAAAGAAGAAGAAGACATCATCAACAAGCTTTACAAGCTTGAAACCTTTTTTTTTTTTTTTTTAATTATCCCTAGTACACGTGGTACAGGCCATGATAATCATGGTGGGTAGTTAGCGACTGCTTTTACTGTAAGCGCACCACATGTCTACACATGTGAAAAGCAGTTCGACTTTGCACCTACAAATGTGCCAGAGCCCCATTTGGTTACTTGCACTCGCTGGTGGGGTTGGACTTTTGCAATAATCGGGGGCAATTGAACCATTTTTTTTTTTTATCAGAAAAAAAGTGTCCAAAGCGGGAATCGAACCCGGGTCGTAGTGGTCGAAAACCAAACGGTTTAACCAGCCTTCCACCGACCCCCCGCTTGAAACCTTAATATGATTGAGTGGAGATAAGAAAGAGGAAGAAGACACCACCAACAAGCTTTACAAGCTTGATACCTTAATATGATTGAGTGGAGATAAGAAATTAGAAGACACCATCAACAAGCTTTACAAGCTTGATACCTTAATATGATTGAGTGGAGCTAAGAAAGAAGAAGATACCATCAACAAGCTTTACAAGCTTGATACCTTAATATGATTGAGTGGAGATAAGAAAGAAAAAAGAAGACACCATCAACAAGCTTTACAAGCTTGATACCTTAATATGATTGAGTGGAGATAAGAAAGAAGAAGAAGACACCATCAACAAGCTTTACAAGCTTGATACCTTAATATGATTGAGTGGAGATAAGAAAAAAGAAGAAGACACCATCAACAAGCTTTACAAGCTTGATACCTTAATATGATTGAGTGGAGATAAGAAAGAAGAAGACACCATCAACAAGCTTTACAAGCTTGATACCTTAATATGATTGAGTGGAGCTAAGAAAGAAGAAGATACCATCAACAAGCTTTACAAGCTTGATACCTTAATATGATTGAGTGGAGATAAGAAAGAAGATCAGTTTTAGTATTTACTTCTATGTAACCAGCTGTAATCCATAAAATCTACTTGCTCTAAATACCAGAGGTTGGCAAATTGCGGCTAGTGAACCACATGTGGCTCTTTGGGTGTGAACCTGCTGCTCTTTATATAGTTCCATATGTAAATATTATTTATGCGAGTACTAAACACAAGGTAATAAGACCAAATCCAAATAAATAGTGTGTGACGTTTCGGTAACAGCGTTGTTAACATCTTCAGACAAAAGTACTGAATGAGAAATTTTACCAAAGCATGTTTTAAATAGTTACTGTTATCAATTGTGTAAACAAGATAGCAGATAAGAAGAAGATAGTTTTCTGAGATACAAAGAATATTATTCTTAGAATTAAAAGTGGAAAAAAAAAACACTTTTATTTTTTTTTTGGGGGGGGGGAGTTTTGTGGGTTTTTTCCTAGTACTTTTGTCTGAAGATGGTAACAATGCTGTTACCTAAACATCACACACTATTTATTTATTTATTTGGTCTTATTACCTTGTGTTTATAATCTATAATCCAAATTGTGCATATTATTATGTGAGTACTATTTATTGTTGTAAAGTATAAAATTTGTGGCTCTTTAAAAACTTTGAAATTTTGTATTAATTGTATTTTTTTTTTTTTGCTTATCCCTAGTACACGTGGTACAGGCCATGATAATCATGGTGGGTAGTTAGCGACTGCTTTTTTACTGTAAGCGCACCACATGTCTACACATGTGAAAGCAGATCGACTTTGCACTTACAAATGTGCCAGAGCCCCGTTTGGTTACTTGCACTCGCTGGTGGGGTTGGACTTTTGCAAGAATCGGGGGGCCATTGGAGCATTTTTTAATTTTTTTTAAACAGAAAAAAGTGTCCAATGCGGGGATCGAACCCGGGTCGTAGTGGTCGTAACTACTCTAAAGATTACTAACCCCTGCTCTAGAATGTTTTTTAAAATTAATTATATATTATGTTGTATGTGACAATTAAAACAAATTTAGTGACACCTCAGTCAATATTTTCCAATATCAGGAAGAGATCACAAAAAAGGAGTAAATAAAAAGATGGCGAAAAGCGTTTTCGAACCAGGGACATCAGGTTCTAAAGTCTAAAGCTTTCTCAGTCAAGCTAATTTGACTTTTATTACGATAAGTCACAATTTGGATTATAGATTATAAACACAAGGTAATAAGACCAAATCCTTATAAATAAATAATGTGATGTTTCGGTAACAACACTGTTACCGAAATCTCACATACTATTTTTTTTTTTTTTACACATATAAATTTACTGGCAATGCGCTTCTTTTGAATATCATCATATATTATCTATACAGACCTTACTGCAATGATACGAGTTATTGAATGAGAGGGTTCACTACTGATGAGCCAAGCCCTCTCATTCAATAACTCATATCATTGCAGTAAGGTCTGTAGAGATAATATTTGATGATATTTAAAAGAAGCGTATTGCCAGTAAATTTATTTGTGTAAAATTTTAACGATAGATGGCAATTAAATTTAATTTACTAATACACCTATCCCCCGATTTACACGGTACTTGTTTTACACGTTTTCGCTTTTACACGGTTTTCCAAATAAGTTTTTTTTTATTTTATCGCACTATACTAAATGCTACTGTGATTGAACACATGCGCTGTGTACACATCTCACGAGGAATCCCGAGCTTATGTGCTGACTACATATTTTAACCTGTCAATGCATTTTATTTTTATTTCTGTGTACACCTATCCCCCGATTTACACGTTTTTCTCAGGAACGTATCTACCGTGTAAATCGGGGGATAGGTGTACTATTTATTTATTTGGATTTGGTCTTATTACCTTGTGCCTTTTATTACATAATAATTTTATAAAAATTTGCATAGATAGATATCTATGCAAATCTCACTTCATGTGCTCAGTATAAATAACCATCTCCCTCGCCCACTCTTAGATCATAATTTTTTCCGTTGAAGAGCGAGAGCTCGTGGTGTTTATGTAATAAAGAAACATTTTGCGCGAAAGGTTTTTCGAATATTTTTATAAAAGTAAATCACAAATTCATTAACTCCACCTTTGCCGGTCCCAAGCCCAGATGAAAAAGGAGGAGGGGGATCAGTAACAAGCTCTCAAAAAAACCTGGGTTCAGCTGGCCCGGCTGATAGTACCCTGTAAGGGCTCCAGGGATACAGGATGAGCAGCATTTGTACTGCATGTTAGGAGTGGCTGCACATGGCGTCTGTTCCTCATTTCTTTTGGAGCTAAGTCGGCCTGCCACTGAGTAGTGCTCCCAGTCTTAATGACAAAGGCATTCTACTTCACCCAGTTTGGAGATAAGAAAGATGAAGAAGACAAATTTCTTATATCTGAAAACCTAATAATTTAAATTACTGTAAATAACTACCTTGTGGTTTCTTGTATATGTTTATTTAATGCTCTTTTTCTTAATTGTTTATTTTCTTTTTGACAATTCTGTTACCTACTCTACTACAATTATTGTAAATAGTTTCATGCGCCGCAATTACCCAGATCGGATATAGCGTGTCTTATTTGCAACTGGTAATAAATAAATAAATAATTTTAAAAAAGAATTAATATTTACAATTTTGTATTTTCAGCTGGGAAGTCTTCATTACCGCATCAGTGTCCTCTTCCAGGCAATGAGGGGGTCCTCAATTCCCTATTATCATGTTGTATGTGATCATCTTATTAAAGTTAAAAGAGGGAAATATGTAAATATATTATTTAGAAAAGTTGTCCTATGAATTGAATATATGCAAATTTAATTATTGTATGAAAATTTTTTTGCATACTTTGATATGTATATGTGTTAGTTGAGTGTAATCAGAAAGGATATACATAGAGATATGATGAGGCTCAAATTGGTAGGCATATATTTTTTTTTAATCTTTAATAAATAATTTGTGAAATATAAAAAGTATAAGTCTTTTTGAACTTATATTAAAAACTGGGGGGTGTGTGGAAGGATGGTCTAAATTGTTGGTTTTTGACTGTTACGACCCGGGTTCAATTCCCGAATTGGACACTTTTTCTGATATAAAAAAAAAATGCTCCAATGGCCCCCGATTCTTGCAAAAATCCAACCACACCAGTAAGTACAAGTATCCAAACAGGGCCCGACACATTTGTAAATGCAAAAGTAAACTGCTTTTCATGTAAACACAAGGTAATAAGACCACATCCAAATAAATAAATAGTGTGTGAAGTTTCGGTACTGAATTCATTCAGCACTTTTGTCTGAAGATGGTAACAACACTGTTACCGAAACGTCACACACTATTTATTTATTTGGATTTAGTCTTATTACCTTGTGTTTAAGAGCTAAAGTGTCCTTTAGGGAGAGGCATCCTCTTACCAGAGAGTTGCTAAATTATAAAAATAGTATTTTTGTTGTTGTTGTTGTTTCTTATTCCCTTGTGTAAAGATTACACGAATTCCATGAGTTCATACTCCTCAAGCTGTTTTATGATAAGCAGCAGCCTCTCCCAAAGGTCCAGTTTAGTACATCCAATTCAATGTGTTCTGGAGCTACAGGTGCCAAGCTACATTTTGGTCAAGTGGGGTAGATTTTGTTGTTATTTTCTATCATCAATGGCTTGAGATGGTCTGTTGTTGTTAGTGTTGTTTGATGTGTACCACGTGTACTAGGGATAAGCAAAAAAAAAAAATTAAATAATTAAAAACTGGTATTTTCTCTTCAATATACTATCCTGTTGTATAAGTATACATGGTCATGGAGACTGAATTCACGGATTATTCCATAAGTCTCCATTATTGGTAAAAAGAGCTGGTGTTGTCACTAGTGTTGAAATAAGCACAGCTGGTACAGTGAACCCAGGAGGAGCTCTGAACCTCAGACAGCATCAAACAACACTAACAAGATTTAGAACAGGCCATCTCAAACCATTGAAGATAGAAAATAACAACAAAATCTACCCAACTTGACCAAAATGTAGTTTGGTACCTGCAGCTCCAGAACATATTTTGGCTTGCATTAGATGTACTAAACAGGACCTTTGGGAGAGGCCGCTGATTATCAAAAAACAGCTCGAGGAGCATGAACTGATGGAATTGTGTAATCTTTACACAAGGGGATTAGAAACAACAACAACACTGTCTATAAACAGCTAGAGGAGCATGGACTCATGGAATTCATGTAATCTTTACACAAGGGGATAAGAAACAACAACACTGTCTATAAACAGCTAGAGGAGCATGGACTCATGGAATTCATGTAATCTTTACACAAGGGGATAAGAAACAACAACAACACTGTCTATAAACAGCTAGAGGAGCATGGACTCATGGAATTCATGTAATCTTTACACAAGGGGATAAGAAACAACAACAGTCTATAAACAGCTGGAGGAGCATGAACTGATGGAATTCATGTAATCTTTACACAAGGGGATTAGAAACAACAACATAATACATTTACCTAACTAATTGTTATTTATTTACCTAAAATGTAACAGTTTCTGCCATGGACATATGAAAGTGTTACTAAGGTACAGTAGAGTCTCCATGAGACAGACCTTGATACATGGCTAAACTGGGACTCTACTGGAGTTGGCCTTACATGGGGGACTCTTGTTTCAGTTGTAAGACTCCTCCTGATATAGCAGATCCTCTGATGAGAGACCACCTCCAGGAGACCCCAGGTGTATAGGCAGAAAAGCAAGAAACAACAACAGAGTGATGACAAACATTTCTTGGATATTATATCTACATCCAGTAATAAAGGTCTGAATCAATTGATAATCATCTTGCTCCTGCTACAAACTGCTCTTCACCTTATCTACGACTGTCCCAACTTTACAGAAATGAGACATTGTTTGTTCCCTGATCTACATGATTCAAATATCTTACATCAGCCACTTTGTCTATATAAATTTTATGAATTCTGTCGTTTAGTACATGTAAATTTGTAAATATTTTTAATTCTAAGTTTTAATTTGTTTGTTTTCTCTGTAATAGGCGCAATTATTTCAAATCATGCCTGGTTGTTTATAAATTTAAAATAAAATCTGTGCAAGACTCCATATAGGTTATATGCCAGTTACATTAAAGCACTGGTTTTATCCAGCATTTCCCCGAGGTCACCTACAGAGAGGTGTAACTTGGACTTTGACCTGGTATTAAATGGCTGCCTCTAACATGAGGAACCTTGTGCAGCCGCTCCTAACATGGAGAACTGCTGATTATCCTGTAACCCAAAGATAGGAACCTTTACAGGGTGCTATCAGCCAGGCCAACTGAACCTTGGTTTTTTGACGAGCTTGTTACTGCTCCCCCTCCTCCTTTTACATCCGGGCTTTGGACCGGCAATGGCAGAGTTTTTACAAGGGATCCCTGTACAGAGAACCAATAGTTCTTGAACTTTTTTATGAGCACGACCTCCAAGATCTTGTCTAATTTAGACTAAAAGGATAAGGCACAATTTGGATTATAGATTAGAAACACATGGTAATAAGACCAAATCCAAATAAATAATGTTTAGGTAGGTGTTACAGTATGATGATAGAATTGTCACCCACTATTTGGTTTTATTACCTTGTTTCTTAGCCGGCTAGTTATATACACTTTTTTTTATTATCCCTAGTACATGACATGACAATCATGGTGGGCAGTAGTTGGAGACGGCTTTTATTGTTTGCTGTTTACACATATAGAAAGTAACTCAAATTTTGCTCTTACAAATGTGCTAGAGCTTCATTTGGTTACTTGCATTTACTAGTAAGGTTGGGGGCCAATAAGAATCTTTTATTCAGTAAAAGTGTCCAATACAGGATTCAGAACCTGGTCCTATATGTCAACTAACCCCATCATGTATATAATTCGTCATGTAAAACTTAATATCAGAGATGGCACTCTAGTAAGAAACTGTTGGAATATTTAATTTTATAAAAATATATATATATATAATCTGTGAGATTGGATATGATAACCTAACAATAAAAAAAGTTGTTAAAAAGTGACAAACAAAACTTGATTTAAAAATATATATAGCCACTATTATCTTTTGTATTTATTGTGTTTTCTTATTGTAATGTATGTATAATAAATAATACATTTAAAGGAGAAGTCTGTCAATCATCAAAAAACAATAGAAACAG